CAGAGTAAGTCTGATTCCCCGTTTGGACTTCTCCGTTGACATCCATCCCTTGGGGCTCATATGACCGTATGCAGTTGCGAGCGCCGTAAAACCTTCTTAAAACTAAACTAACTAAACAACATCTTGGCGTTCATATGACCGTATGCAGTTGCAAGCGCCGTTAAACCTTACTAAAACTAAACTAACTAAACCACCTCTTGGCGTTCATATGACCGTATGCAGTTGCAAGCGCCGTAAAACCTTACTAAAACTACTAAATCAAACAAACCCTCCCCCACCACCCCTCGCCTCCTGTCACCTAGGACCCACCTTCCGGGGGAAATCCGTGACGTCCCATTATCTTCCACAGTGTGGCTTGGTCTATACTGTCAAAGGTTTTCTCATCATAGTCCAGGAAGTTGCTCAGTTCAACTTTTTAACCCTACCCTTACGTCGTGTCTTACTATCGTACCCATAGGACGTGGCACCCATTTCCAAAGAGGAAATTTCCCCTTTTATCCGATCCGTACGCTTTGCTTAGCAGTCTGTCAAAATGCTTATTGGATAAATACTGAAAGTTTCAAAGAGATCTTCGTACTAGAAGTATTCTAAAAATGTGAAGAACACCCCTCCCCCCGGGGGGTACAAATGACCCTAGGGCGTTCGGATAGGAATACTGAGATAAGGTCTAGGCTCACCCACACTCTACCTCCAGCAGCTCCCGGGTAATTTCAGTTAGAGACATCTGATCTTGTCTTTTTTTTGTTTTGATGTTTTACGGCGCTCGCAACTGCATAAGGTCATGCGAGCTCTTGGGACACACCAAACATTTTCAGTTGGAAGGACATTTTGAATTTGCCTGGGTGTCGCCGAAGCCTACTCTTATCGATTTTTTTACCACCAAGGGATCTTTAACGTGCGCAACTTGCACACGGGCCCTCCGATATTTTTCGCCCTTGTCCGAGAAGGCTAAGTGTAGATCTTACCTACCATAAAACCAGGGGTGTGGCTGAAAGACATAAGTAAAAAGTAACCAAGGAGAAAAAGTAGAAAGGCTGAAGAAAGAGTCAGGAGCCCAGAGGAGGGGGAAAAGGAGGTGAGGGGGTGGGGCAGAAAGTGGAGACGAAAGTAGACGACAGAATATTGCTTGAGAGCAAGAAAGGAGGTGAAAGGAGACAATATAGAGAAGAAAAATTTCAGACGCTATCGGATTCGAACCCGGGACCAATTGAATGAGAGGCGAACACATTCACACCTGATCTGCAGGCACTTACAATAAATGTATGTATCATTTGAGCCGCTAAACCTTTTGAAACTCAAAGTTTATTTTTTGAGTCATTCAACTTTCAGAAACGCTATGTATATCTTTGGAGCCGTTGAACTTTTCCAAACTCAGTGCATATCCTTTGAGTCTCTGAACTTTTGGAAATTCTTCGTATATATATATATTTATTTATTTATTTATT